GAAAACAGCTTTAGGACCCTTGCCCAGCATAGAGGAGCCTTTCCAGAGGGTGGCCAGGGTAAAACCCCAAGATGCAGCTAATTGGGGGGGGGATCCTGTTGTCTGTGGCTGCAAGACCTGTCTTGGACTATATTCCTGTCGTCTAATAAACCTTCTGTGCTTTACTGGCTGGCTGAGAGTCATGGTGAATCACAGGAAGCTGGGGGGGCAGGGCCTTGTGTCCCCCCCACACTCCATGATACCGGGGACCCCTCGCCCGGCGCTGAGATGCAGCCACCTCTGGGGCGGGGCGGCCAGTTATATGGGGACCCCTCGCCTGTCACACAACAGGCGCTAACCAGCTGCTGCTCACCTGCTGTTCGACACCTTCTCCCCGACATCGGCTCTCTGGGGAAGGCTCCTCTCTGCTTTCCGCTTCTCCTGGGGACAGAAGGCAAGAGGGAAAGGATTAGGGAGAGAACCCAGGAGTCCTGGCTCCCAGCCCCCCCCCCCCTCTAACCCTCCAGGCCCAATGCCCAGTTTCCTTTGCTGCTGTGTTGTGGCAGCCATGCAAGCCCAGCCCACTCCCACCCTGGGCAGCCTGGCATGGGTCCCGCTTGAAGGCTGAGGCAGCCCCTCCCCGCTTGGGCACAGCCCTGCCCCACAGCTGTGCCCCCAGCTGGCAGGAGCAGTGGGCCTGAGCCGGAACTAACCCTCAAAACTACATCTCCCAGGATGCACCATGGCCAGGGACTCCCAGGATGCAAGTGCCTCACTCTGAGGCCAGACCAGAGTGCACCATGGGAGATGAGTCCAGTCCACAGAGGGAAAGGAGGCTTGTGGTTTCTAAACTACATCTCCCATGATGCAACTGCTTCCCTCACCCTGAGGCCAGACCGTGGTGCACCATGGGAGACGCAGTCCGACTAGGGAGACTGGCGCATAGAGGAGAATGGGAGGCGTGAGGCAAGCGAAACACAACTCCCATGAGGCAGTGCGGCAGCGGCGCCCGAGCAAGAGATTTCAGGGTTCAAATATTTGCCAGAATCCCTAAATTCTCTTGGGTCCGGGGGCAGGGTCACGACCCCATTTTGGGTCCAGTGCGATACCTCTCTCTGCCCTGGGTCAGTTCTTCCCCCCGCCCCCTACAGGGCAGCCAACAGGCCCACAGTGGAGCACTGCATCCTGGGAGTTGTAGTCTTCCCGCCCCCCCCTCACCTCCGTCGGGGCCGCGGCCTGCGAGCTGCTCTCCAGCTTGCCCGCCTCCTCCTCCTCCACGCTGCTGTCGATGAAGTCGATCTGCTCCAGCTCTCCGTTGGCTGCGGGGAGGAAAGCATCAGTGGGGCCGCTCCGCGCCCAGCGAAGCCCGGCACACGGGGGGTGGGGGCTGCCTGGCACGGCAGAGCTGTCACTGGCAGGAGAGGCCAGCAGCTGATTTCCCCTTTGGCTGCGGTAGGCACCTCCCCGCGGGTAACGCTGGGGCCCCAGACCCTGCTCACCTGCCCGGTCCCGCTTCTCCTTCAGCTGGCGGGGATCACGCACCAGCTCTGCGATGCGGAACGACAGGTCGGAGAACTCGTCTGTGGACTGAGAAAGCAGAGGGGGCGGGTGACTCTCGGGGGGCACAGAGGGGGTCGGACACTGGGCCTGCCCGGCGCGGGTGAAAGGGACCGACGCCGGTACGTGAAACCGACCGATCCGCACACGGCGCGGGTGAAAGGGACCGACACCGGTACGTGAAACCGACCGATCTGCGCCCGGCGCGGGTGAAAGGGACCGACGCCGGTACATGAAACCGACCGATCCGCGCCCGGCGCGGGTGAAAGGGACCGACGCCGGTACGTGAAACTGACCGATCCGCGCCCGGCGCGGGTGAAAGGGACCGATGCCGGTACGTGAAACTGACCAACCCGCACAACTGACCGATCTGCGCCGGTGAAAGGGACTGACGCCAGTACGTGAAACTGACCAACCCGCACAACTGACTGATCTGCGCCGGTGAAAGGGACTGACGCCGGTACGTGAAACCGACCGATCCGCGCCCGGCGCCGGTGAAAGGGACCGACGGCGGTATGTGAAACTGACCAACACAAGGGAAACTGACCCAGAGCAGCACCTAACAAGCTGTGACCCCCCCCAGGCCAGCACCCCTAGTCTCCCATCCAGCCCGTCTTTGCAGTCCGCCGGCTCCCACGCAATGCTGGCATCGCCTTGGAATGTAGACCCCTGACCCACTGCCCATCGCCCAGGGCTAGGAAGGGGGGGCCGTCGCTGCCCTGCATGCTCCGGATGGCACCAGCTCCCGGGAGAGCAGCACTTGGCTGCGGGCCGCACGGTCCATACCTCGTTCCCAGACCACCGCTTGCTGCCGCTGTCGACGCTGTTGAAGCCCGAATCCAAGCCGCCGTACTGCCGGCCAGGGTAGAACTCGTCGGAGAGGCTGAGGGGCAGAGAGAGGTGCCGGAGAAGGTACTTCACAAACCAGCCCAGAGCCTGAGATCAGCCCAGTACAGAGCAGGGGAGTGACTGAACTTGGCACTTCCTCCCCAAGCTCTCAAGAAAGGGGCAGATCTAGAAATAGAACCCAGAAGTCTGGGCTCCCAGCCCCCCCTGCTTTAACCCATCAGCCCCCACTCCCCTCCCAGAGCTGGGGAGAGAACCCAGGAGTCCTGGCTCCCAGAGGTGGGGGAGCCCATTGGTTTCTATCTGCTTGAGGGGCAAGCGGTGGGAACAGAATCCACAATGCCCAGCACCACTGGGCTGCCACGCGGGGGCCGGACAAGCCGGGGCGATCCCAGGTCCCCCTGCCCCGGTGAAGCTCCCTTACCAGGTGCCGAAGCCGGTGGGCCGGCTGGCCCGGGCGAAGTCGGCCAGGTCAGGCCCCGTTTTGCTGCAGGCTTCCAGGTTGAGGTATTTGAAGATGTGGATTTTGCCTTTCAGGCAGATCTGGGGCGAGAGAGGGAGTGGGGGGCTCGTTAGGGCTGGGCTGAGGTGGGGAGAGCCCCTACCCCTTTACTGAGTCACTGGCCGGAAGGACCTATCGGATCTGACTCTGGCATCGCACCGGCCGGTCCCATGTTAGTCACCTGCACTGTGGAAAATCGGTGCCTCGTTGCCCATCGGGATGGGTCCAGCTTTACCGCCTCCCCCCTCCTCCCCCCACCCTCCTTCCCCGGGTCAGTTTCCTTCCAGCCCGCTGCGCCCTGGGCCCCGCCCCGGCTCACCTGCGCAGGCGGCGACTGGAGGGGGTTATTGTCCAGCAGGATGGTCTGCAGATGCCGGAGGTGCCGGTAGCAGACGGGGATGCGGGCGACCCGGTTGCAGGAGAAATCCAGGCGGACCAGGGGCAGTTCCGACAGCTCTGGAGCGGCAGAGGAGCCCGGTGAGCGCGGCAGGGGCCCTTGGAAAAATCCCAGCTGCCCCATGTCCGGGGGGGGGGGGGGATCTGTGGGGAGTCCCAGCCCCGCCTGACACCCCCTGGCACTGGGGCATCGGGGCTGTGGTGAGCACAAGGGGATGTGGGGCTAGAATCAAGACCCAGACCCAGCTCCCAGGGTGCTTGAACAAGAAGAAAGGGCCGAAAGATATTCGCGCACCGGCCCTTTAACTACCAGCTCACTGGGCTCGTGGGATTGGTGGCTTCTGTTCCCACCCCGCATTCGATTGGCTGGAAGGGGTCCTGCCCCGGGATTTAAAGAGACGGAGAGGGGCATTGACCTTCAGGCAGGGCAGTTAGCTGGTTCCTCCGCACACTCAGGTCTCGCAGGGACCCCAGCCGGCCCATGCTGGCCGGCAGGGACTGGAGTTCATTGCAGCTCACGTCCTGGGGGGGGAGGTTGGTTTAGCAAGGCGCGTCGGTGGCGGGGGGGGAGGGGGCAGGAAAGAGAGGCACGATGGAATGACCCGCGCTGGAGATGAGCCAGGATGCCTGGGTTCGCACTGGCGCAGGAGCGACAGAGGAGCTTTGAGTGGCAAGGCCTGGCCTAATCCCTGACACCCCCCCATCCGTACATCAGCAGCGCCCCCTGCTGAGCCCCCCGCCCGCTCCCCGCCCCACAGCACCCCCTAGCGCCGCCCTGGGACCAGCCCCGTCTGCCA